CGTCCACAGCCAGCGATGACAGCGATCAGAAAAGGATTGGTCAAGGCTGACGATCAAGTCTGGGCTAAAGCCCAGCCACATCAGCCATTTACGACGCCGCTGCGAGCTCAAAATGGTCTGTGGATTTCAAGTTTTCCGACGTCGTTTCCGGCGACTCCGGCTGTTGTTTCCGTCAATCGATGTATGAAACTTTATCTAATTTTCGTGCTCAAGCTGTTTATGTATGTGGTTAGGATAGATTTTGGAGTTTTGGAAATTAATAAATACACCCTAGTTTGACCGACGACTTTGGCAGTGTTCCGGATTGCTCCGACCACTTTTTGGCTGGGGTCCAAGACAAAAAATTACTCCCCTTGTTAGTCTAAATATGTTGGTATAGGTATTGTAAGGACTTTTTTTTATTTTATTGTAGTCTGATTTGGATGATTTCATGTTCGATTAATTAAATTGCTGGTTAAGTTTTCATAATTTTTGCAGTTTTGGAGTTTAAATTTGAAATGTAGATCCAATTCTTCTTGATTTTATATGTTTATTTTTGTTATTGTCGATTTGGAGATAAGCTATTGGATTTTCTAATTTCGTTCTAATTTGTATTAGATATTCGTTTGAGTTTTAAATTGTGATTTTAATTTCTTTTTGTTTATAATTTGGATTGATTTCATATTCAGTTTGGTTGTGGATTTGCTTTTGTGTTTTGGTTTGAGCTGTGTTACAAATTTCTGATATTTGATTATGTTATCATATTAATTGAGTTATGTTTTTTTCAATTGAATCTGAGTATATTCGTGTTTTTTTTGTTTATGCACTATTGGTTTTGAGTCGACTATAATTTGCTGTTATATAGCAGTAAGCCTTAACCACAACCCAGACTAATCCCCGCTCACACCGGGTCGGCCCGTAAGGGGTAAAGTGCCTATATTGGAACTTTACAATGGTATAAATGCATTAGAAATAGAATTTCTTAGGAAAAAAGAAGTGTTATTACCCTGTACTGGAACTTTATAGTAGTAGACATGCATTCAAAATAGGATTTCATTGGAAACAAACAGTATTATTACCCTATACTGGAACTTTACAGCCATTAATCAACATGAAAGTAAACTAGCAGTGTTAAGAATGAGTATATGACTAAATATCTCTTTCTTTTTTGAGTTGCTGAAAACTGACTACTTTATAGTCATATGCAGTTAGTCCAATAGTGAAAATCCAATATAGTTTCAAAATTTTGTATTGGATTTGAATATAAAATACTGTTATTACCATAGACTGGAACTTTACAGCAATTAATCAACATTACAATAAAGGTTTGGTTTTTAAATGTCTTACCTTTGAAGCCTTTTCTTGTTGAAATTGTTCTCTGAAATTTTATCTTTGTTTTGCAGGTGGAGGTTAGTGTGTGGTGTTGGTTTTTGAAAGTAGATCAAGCTTGGTGGTTGTTATGGAGTTTCAGTTTGCATAAATGATGAAGACGGTGAAATGAAGAGATGTTTTGCTGAGATGGTTTAATGAAGATGCGTGCTTGAAGTTACTGTTTTCGAGACAGTTTTGTGTTGTAATAAAATGTTTTGGACTTTTTGTAACCCAAAAAAAACAAAAAAAAAGTTTGGGCTTTTTTATAAAATTGGATTGGGCTTGTTTTGGGTGTTTTTTGAGTTTTTTTTTTCTGTTAGGCATCAGTGGCAGTCTTGTAATTTATAAGAACTTCAACACCAATTTCTTATATAGTAAATGAATTTTGGGTGTATTTCTAAAGTGCATTCCATGTGGGGTTTTTTTTATAATTTCAGCTCCTATTTTGGGTATATTAGTGAAGCTCCCTTTAATTAATTCGAATTTCAAATTTTGGTTTTATCTGAAAAAATCGAATTTTCAATTAATAAAAATAAATTATTAATTAAATCAACAGAGCCCATTGCCCATCTTTTGACAATTAATTATATATATATTTATTACACAAATATATATATAATCCAAGCTCAAACCATGTTGAGGCTCAAGTTTGCCTCCACTAGGCCCATACTCTATTTAGTAATTCTAATGTGTTGGTGCTTATAAACTATGGAAGAAAACTACTCTATTCCAATGTGGGACTACATGCAAGTGTATTTTCCTATACAAACTCTAACATCTCTTTGGCTCTTTTGTTCAATCCTTTGACAATTTTGTTTTTCTTTCAAATTCAGGAATTTCAACACTATAAAATGAAAATTCTAATTCCTAAATTCGTAAAGACCAATCAAAATTTGTGATTGCCATTGTTGATGATGAATTTTAGTTATAAAAACTTGTTTTATGACTTTAAGTAATGAAAAATGATTATTTTTAGTATTTGAATTAGATTATGTGAGGGTCCCATTTTAAGTTTCATACAGGACCTTCAAAATCTCAAAACCGACAATTGTTGGTGATGGTGGGAGCATGGGGTGGGTGTGGTGGTGACGATGGTGGTTGAATGGTAGTGATGTGAATGAGTATGGTTTGGGTGACGATGGTGGTAGAAGTTGTGGTGGTGATGGCTATTGCAAAAGAAAAATGAAAGAAGAGGAGGGAGAAGAGATCACCCTTTTAAGTTCAGTAGTGTGAATGCTGGGACAATGTCATTTCTTTGTTGTCTACTCGTACGCATTTCACGGTCTCTAAAAGAGTGGGGTGTGGTCACTCTGCTACATTAAATTCGTTTCCTTGGATTTAAAGGGCTGTGCCACGTGCGAACACACTCCATCTGTGAAAAGCTCAAGAGAAATCCACAATCCCATTTCGACACTTGGCATGTGCCACCTGGCCCTGTGATCTAGTGTCTCCATCTCCTTCACGTGAAACCCCTCACATTTTGAAGATTTTGATCTTCCTCCCCCTCATGCTCATGTTGGGGACCTCAATGTTGCTGTACAAGAATCATTTCCAATCAATAAAAAGTACTTGTGTTTTATGATTTGGTATAAATTGGTTCTCTTTCCCCTCACATGATTTGGATATTGGATAATGTTTTGTCCCTACTTCTTAATCTTATCCCCCAAATTTTTTGATTTGGTACATAAATCCCAAGAAAAGAAGGAAAATATATATCCATCGTGGAATTCTCTGGTCACTTCTTAATAAGCAAATTCTAGGGAAAATTTAGTTGTCGTGACGACGATACCTTTCTTATTTCTTAGTACAAGATCAGAAAAGATTTCTCTTGAAAAATATAGCTTTTATATTTTAGAGTATAGTTATTAAATAGCTCTAGTTTAATTTTGTGTTTAAATTAATTAATTAGTCAGGTTTTATTTATGTAACTCTTCCCTTCTTTTTCAGAGAATCATAGCAGTAACTATCAAATCATGGCATGTCGTTGGTATATATAGCCGTGAGCTGTGCTTAGTGATTGTAATTACCAAACTGCCACTGTCTCTTTCTCAGTAGCAACGCACCTATCTAATCGATGCTCTCCAAATAATACACATGGCACAAAATGTAAAAAAATATATATAGCCGACCCATTTGCTTCAAATCACAAGAACTGTTCTTATTAGATCATCACAAAGCCAATATTTTACAAAGCAATCCAATATATATATATCCCCAAATAACACAAACAACATGTAGACGTACTCTTTATTACAAGCAAATAAAATTAAACCCAAAACATATCAAACACTGAACCAACTAAGGATGACATAAAGAAGGAAATTAAACGTATCAAATGAGACTCACACAACTGTAGGATACCAACTGATCATGTGTCACTCGCATACAGCTACATGTCTCGGACATGGAAGATGTTGGGGTTTTTAATGACAATATCGTACATGTAAACGGAGTTGAACTTGGAGAAGTCTCTGGGAAGAGAGATTAGGTCAATGGAAGATCGCTTGTGGAATTGGAAGAGGTCGGGGTCGCCTCCATAGTACCTCTCCCACCCTAATCCGGTCAATATTTGCTCGAGCGTCGAGTAGGACGACACCACCTGTCCACTTGGCAAGTGCACCAAGGCCTTCTTCCTGGAAGATGTCTCAGCCTGTGGATTTTCCACCAGACGAATCACCCCGTTCTTGAAAACCCAAACCCCAGACATTATCTTTCTTCTTTCTTTGGTAGTAGCTAGTGGTGCTTGGTTTTTTGGGTGGAGGGTAAATTGATGCAAATGATGTTTGTTTGGAGATGAGAGAGAGAAAGAGGAGAAGGAAATGAATTGAATTGTACCTTTGTGTTGTGTTGTGGCAAAAGAGAAGGGTGGGAGGGGGTATTTATATGTGTCAAAGGGGCAAATAAAAACAAGGGGGAAATACTCTTTGAGTGGGAGGGAGAAACTGAAAAGGATGGTGGATTGAGGTGTGGGCATGTTTGGCTTTGGAAGAGAATCTAGATTAAGTGGGACCCAATGGGATTAAAAATATAAGGGTGCTGCATGGATGATGCCCCTAGGGTTTGATTTAGGGCACAATTCAGCACCATCCACACACACATCCAATTCCGTGGGGTTGGGGTTCGGAGGAATCTTTGTGTTGCTTAAACATTGCAAGCTAAGCTAAATGTAGCTTTTTCGAGTGTGCTTTTTATTTTTTATTTTTTACTTTTTATTTATTTAAATTTTTTGATGGGGAATCTTTTATATTGCTAGGGTTGGGGCAATGCATGCCACTATTCATTCATTAATAAAAGATTCAAAAAAGAAGAAAGTCAAATGATGGAAAGAAACCCACTTAGATCACGAGATGTCCACGTGAAGGGAGTGGGAGTGATTGGGGCATATTTTTATTTTCTTGTGTGGATCTTGGGATGTTGGTGGGTTTGGCTACTGAAAGCAGATGTTTGGGTTTCTTTCTGTTGGAGACACGTACTGCTTTGCTATTTGTGATTTTTTGCAACCTTAAAAGCCTAGCTTTGCCCACGCTGTCTTGTCAAATCAGGTTTGGATTTTGTTTGTGAGTTTCGAGCCTAGATTTATGAAAAGAAGAATTAGTTAGAGTCTAGACTTATGAAAAAAAAGGGAGTTAATTCATAATGCAATCAGTAAATATATGATATGTTATACGGTTTAGTTAAACATGAATATGTAAGGATCTTTAAATTTCCATTTTGACTTCGAATTTTATGAATCACAGGCTTCCAAAATCATATATACTTGTTTTCAAGTTTTCATTCTAAAAGTGATGCCGTTCACACTCGGTATTTGTTTTCAATTATTGATTAGCAGAGTATTTACTTTTACATTCAAAGTTAATTAGCGAATGACTCTAAATATTCGATCCGTAGGCCTTACGTCTCTTTTGCGTCTCTTTTGTATCAAAAAAAGGAAAATAAAAAAGAAAAGTATTCATCCACTACTTATCACTACATACATGTACTTGGAAGTTGTTGATATTGCTTGATCTAAAAAGCAAATTAAAAGAAAAGGATAGTAAGTCTGACAATAAAATGTGTGGAATTTTTGCTTAAAAAGAAAAACCTTGCGCAATCGATGACATCCCCTTAATATCTAAAAGCAGCAAATTTCGACCAACAAAATGCTTCAAGTGATTAAGATAAGACAGTCAATTATTATTGTAAATAATAATTTTCACAATTGGGATTTCTCAACACCACTTAAATAAATTATATATGTCACACTCAATTCAAACATATAATTGAGCCCTAATGTACAATAATTTGTCACCAAAAGGACCACTTGACTAAGTCTCAATTATCATTGTCAAAAACTTCATGCTTTCCACAGTTTCTCACTCTCAGAATTTTATAATGCTTCAAAAAAAATGCCATGTTGCCCACATGTCATCACATGGGCTACAATGGTCCTGTAGCCAGATCGAGGGCTAGGACCTTTGAGCAGCCGTCTTGTCAAATCCATGATTAGGGTTTTACGTTAGGATATTTTGGAGTTTAAACTACCTGCCACGTAGAAGAGACCTGTGGAAAACTACGACACCACAAAAACTTGATGTTCTTCATTTTGAAATTAACATGACAAATGAAGAACCATGCGACAAGATATCAATTTCAGCACAAATGTTGGTTTGTGATCTCATTAATGGTGCACTTTGTTTGATCTGTTTCTTACTGTGTGCAAATTGCAAAAAGGAAAGTTTTGTTTCGATTAGTCAATCTTTGAGTTTATTGTCGGTAAGGAAATTCTGTTCTCTTTTTTTTTTCTTTTTTCTTTTTTTTATAAATCATTTATCATCGTTGATGTTGTATGAAGAATCGAAACTTCTCGTGTTAGGGGTTTAATTAATCCGTCAAACTTGATCAATCATGTATGAGTAACTCTAATAATACTTCAATATCCTTAATCGTTAAATTTGCATATGTTGAACTTTGTCATGAGAATGTCATAAGTTTAAATCTCATGACCGACAATTGTTGAATAAAAAATAATAACAGTTTATTAGAAACATATTATTCTTTGTTATATTATTACTTCAAGACTATCAATTGTTAAAAAGAATAGTGGTCCTCAACTTTTGAGTTTGAAAGTTGATTCCCATGCTCCCCATTGCGCATGTAGAGCATTGCATATGCAGGTTTTTGTATGCCTTTAGGCATCCAAGCCCTCGAGCACCATATCATCTTTGCTTCTGTATGTTCCTCTTTTCACATGCCAAGGTCCTAACGATATAGACCTCTCCAATCCTATCCCCATTCACTTTGGAAAATCCTAAATGGTACCCAATTCCTTCAATTTTAGTCCTTTCTGTTTTTGTTGCATATTTATATATATATATATATATAGTTTTTAATTTCATTTTATTGGATGGAAAAATTGGGCTCACAGCTCAGAAATTGCTACACCACAAAGTTCTTTCCCATGTCAAGTGGACTGCATGCCTGGCATTAGGGTCTACCGCATGACTTGAAGATAATATATTATGAGGTGTTGCACTCGAGGTTTTCAATCCTCTCTTTTCAAATATCGCTTGTATCAAAAGATTCAACTCCAATCCGAGTACCGAACAAGTTGCTTTGTATCTCAGTGACTCTTGAGGCATGTAGACATCAAGTAACTTTAAATGAAATTTTACGCTCCGAATTAGTTTAGGATTTTATATTAGGAGGATATATATAATGTCAAGTGATTCAAAACCAGAAAAGAGAATCCCTTCCTTATTACGTGCAGCACATCACTATGGTGATGAAATAAAGATGCGAAATGATAATTCTTTCGATAGTTAAGTGATTCAAGACCAGAAAAGAGAATCCCCTCCCTTCCTTACGTGCATATTAATATGATGATGAAATAGAGATGCCAAATGATCATTCTTAATATGTCATATCAATGAGGTGTTTGGATCTTGGAGGACAACTCTAGTTCTACATGATTTTCGATTTTCATATTCTTTTTGTTATATATTCTTCGAATTTTCATACGAATTTCCACATTCTTTTTTTTCCCCTCCCTTTTTCTCTGTCTACAAAAGTTTGGTGGGGGTGAGCCGTAGATTCCATTACACACCACAAACTTTAAGAAGCATGCTTAGCTTTATATATGTATATATTTATCGTTTAATATTAGAAGTGAGAAGAATCAAGGGAAAGGTAGCCTCCACTAGAATGTGCTAAGCTAATCGCTATCTTTTATATACTCTGATAAAATAAAATGAAGAACTTCAAGAATTAACACTTGAAAAACATGGATTGATTGTGATAGCCGAAACTTCTAGATTTAGCCAGAGTTTTCATTTTACATTGGCAATGAGCATCAGACCTATATTCATCGTTATCCAAACTACCATAGAATAAAGGTGAAGCATACAGCTTGCGTTTTGGACATGGTTAGTTTAATTTTTTTTTTTTAAATACTGAGAGAAGGAGAATCAAACCTAAGACCTAGAATGCAGGGTAAATGATGTTAACCACTTGAGCTACAAACCCTTTACTTAAACCCATTAACTTAATTACTGTAAATTCGATGCATTTCTGCCGTACTTGGATATAATTTATAATCCATATACCATAATTTTATGATTCGTCCTTTCTTTGGGAGATTTGAATTTTGAACCCCACAATAAAACAATATTTCAATGAAGTAGTAGTACTTACGGATTCTACCTGGGGGTTTTTTTTCATAAAGAAAAAAGATATTTTATTCGACAATAGTGGCAGCATTTATACTCATTACGTATTTTATGTGCCATAAAGCAAGTTCCTAGAGCTAATGTGCTTTTCTGGTAGGCATAAGTTTAAATGGTAATATAATATACATTTAGAGATAATCTAGCTCAAAGGAATATTAGAAAAGTTATTAGGAGGATAATCTAGTTTGGTAACTTCAAACAAAACTAGTCTTGTTATAGAAACCAGATGCTAATTCCCATCAAAAAGAGCAAATAGACTGCAATGAGAATAAGATTAGTTAGACGCGCATAAAATCCTTGTAAGTAATAGATTTTATAATTCAAACATCTCTTTTAATGGATTTTGAAAATTCCATTTATAATAATATGTGAGAAACCGTATACGACACACATTAAATGAATATGAACGAAAACTGTCCATAGTGGATGGGAGACCCTACTCAACCCAAGTTCAGAGGATGCTTAGGGTTCCATGCTTAATTCCAAATACAAACCACTCATTTTAATCTTTTGTTTAATTACAAACTCGCGCTATGTGGCTCAACTTAACACGACAACAAAATGAAACGTATATTGCAAAGACATGTATTACAGTACTTCTTAAAGAAAGTTGAGGTTCCACTCTAAAATCAATTGGCAACCGGTAACCCAACTCTTTATAAGCCTTTGCAAGGTTTTCTAACTTTCCAATATGTTACTTTTTACCTTCACATTCTCACACTCTCCCTCACGTGTTGCCGTTGGGCTTTCACACGTGGGCTAACCCGCTCTGATACCATAAAGGAAGTTGAGGTTCCACACCAAAACCAATTGGCAATGGGGGGAGTAGCCCAACTCCTTATAAGCCTTTGCTAGGTTTCTCAACTTTCTAATGTGAGACTTTTTACCTTCACATTCTCACACTTCTGGACCTTTAGAATATAGAGGAAGAAGGGAAGAGAGGTTGCAAGCAATGTGCCACAATAATTTTGCGATAAACTCATACCATGAAGAAGGGAAAATATATTGCTAGCTTTTTTCATTGATTTCAGTAACCTGATTACCTACAGTACTGATAGTTGTGCATGAACACCGCAATTAATGTAACGTTAAACAAGCTTAACAAACGAATATATAACTAATCCTCTAACTA